GGTGTTTCGTCGCCATGTCTCCCAGCATCGCCTGGCTCTGCTTGTGGTAAACGCTGATCTTGTTCCTCATCATCAGCTCGCGTAGGAAGGAGAACCTGAGAGCAATGTGCTTCGTCCCAGAGCTGAACATGGCGTTGCCTGCTACACTGCCTGCGATGTACTGGTATGGCGTGGTGTCTGCCGCTCCGGGTAGCTTGTCCGCTGGCTGATCAGTCGAGAGTTCTGGTACATACCCTGGAGTGCTGACGTAGTTTCAGTTCTCCAGCTGGTAGGCCATGATATCCCAGATCGCCGGATGTTTCGTGTCTTGTCCTGGGCCGGGCTTGACCCGGACGTCTTCATCGATCGCAGACTGCAGAATCGCAACGGCGACGTCCATCTGATAGACCGGCCATCGTTGTTCGCTTGCTATAGCGAGTGAGGTGCGAACGCTCCCGATGTCGCACACCGGTGCGCAGCTCCTCCCGTAGTCGATGCCAGACTCCTGCACGTGCCCTTGAACCACCAGCTTGACCTTGAATTTTCGGTCCGCTTTCTGTTTGGAGATATTCGAGATTTCCATGCGCTCCTCCTTCAAGAATCCTTGCTGGATTGGGGTGCCTGTAGCGTAAACGTAGGCCCGCGATGCTCGGAGCGATTCTTCGCGCAGATGAGAAATTTCCAAAGGGACGCTGGCATGATCGTGGTAGGTCTTTTTGGCGAGGTTCAACAGCCGTGCAGACGTCAGCGCGCTGGGGTCAGGCCGCATCACCGTGGCCGTCATGCATCCGTTTCCCATGAGGTCCAGGGAGCTAGGTGCCAGGGAGGATTTCGATCGAATCAGAGGCGTTCGGCCTCCTGGCGGCGGTCTGGGTCGCTTCAAGCGGCCGCGATTTCCCTTGGGTCAGGTTCGGCGCGCTGCCTGATGCGATACTTTCTGCCTGTACAGCATCTGGGTCGTCGCCGGGTGTGGCTACCTGAGGAGAGTGCGGCCGGCTGGGTGGAGTATCGTGTCCCGTGTTGATTGCCTGTTGTTGGAACTCCTCCCTGTGTCGCATACGGCGAATCCCTTGCCGGAGAAGCTGATTGGCGGTTGGCTGCAACTTCTTGTGCTTTTTTTTTTTCTGCGTGGGATATTTTCTATTTTCGGCCAGTGAAAGGTGTGGGTGCATTGCTTACAACATGCGTCATGCTACTAATTATCGGTTGTTTCAATGCTCGTGTGGTGCCTCTCTTACTATTTTGCGGGCTGCGCGCAGATCATTCTATCTCGGACCTGGGTGTTGTTCAGTATTTATTTATTATTGGTCCTGATCCATCTTCGTCATCTCACTCTCTGTGACACGTTGTCATCGATGATCTAACGTACGTCAACAGCAGTAATAGTACTTCGTCAATTTAATTCATAGAAGACTGCGGCGACTGACTTCTTTCTGCATTGCTGCTTCTTTGTTATAGTGTTGAGTGCAAACCGCGATTTACTGCAGTCTATTCCTACACCGTTTGTTGTCGTCGTCGGCTCTCGAAACAGAGGTCGTTGAAAAAGCAACCTGTCTCATTCTCAGTCAGTACAAAAACATAATAACTGTGGTGGGTGCATAGCTCTCTCTCTCTCTCTCTCTCTCTGTACAATGTTCACGTCTAATACATAGATGAACACCACCGGCATTTCTAGTAGTCTGACCTTGTGAGAGGACCGCAAAGTATCATCAAACATCTAGCGGAGGCGGGCTCCCCCTATCGTTAGATTACTTTAAATATTGAATGAGTGACTGGTATGCAAATAAATGCACGGGCCCGCCCGCAGAGAGGTTCGATTTTCCACAAAAAATCAGAAAGAAGGGTCAACAAACACTGCACAGCGGTGGATCAAGACTAAACTGTACTCCCAATATATTATACATTAATACAACTTCTCTCTGCTCGACAGCAGTGAGTGATGACACATAAAAGAGACTATATAACTGGTATGCATACATACATACACATGTACCCATGGCTAGGTTTGTCTTTTCTTTTCTTTTCTCCCATTATTTGACTCTGTCGTCTGTCCCTCTGGCCCACATCCTCCACTTCTACCATAGCACCGGTCGCCCCGGTGGTCTAGTGGTATCCTCGTAATCCGCTAGTCGCAGAGGTCGTGAGTTCGAGTCCTCATGGGGTGAAAAATTTGCGAAATTTGCGGGTGAAAGCGAAATATAGCTAAAAAGCTTTCGTGAGTACCAAAATTCGACGTTAGCACCGTTGACGAGGGAAAGGGACGGCTGGACCCTTTCCGCGAAAAAAATAAAATTCAGCACGCACCGCAGGAGGAAGGTGAGGCATGAAAAGAAATAAAAAGAAGAAAAAAGCCCCGTGTTTACCCCCTCCTGTGTGACCCTGGATGGTTGTAGTTGTACGAAAAAATACACTGAAAAGTGTAGTACTCATCATACGCTGAAAAAGTGTAGTACACGTCTCAGCACGAAAAGCGGGGGGACTGTCGCCATAATAAATAGGACGAAAACACACAACACTACAATAATAGCTAGACGACCCAAACCGGGTCACATAGGAGGGGGGGCTGGACCCCCTCCTGCGGTTCCTGCCTGAGATATTTTCATCGCGAGAAGGTTACAGCAATCCTTTCCCTCGCGACTTTCGAAGTCGATCGAGTTTACTAACAACCAGCTTTGCAGCGCGTCGCTTCCAACTTACTTAGACCAGGATTGATTCAGTGAGAAGAAACCTAATCTGCCGGGACTCGAACCCATGTCCTTAGTGGGCTGCGAGGGTACCCACTAGACCACCGGGGCGACCGGTGTAGTTTTTTTGTTGTTGTTTGTTTTTCTCCCATCATTGGACTCTGTCGTCTGCTCCTCTCTGGCCCCTATCCTCCACTTCTACCAGCTAAACGACCCAACCGGGGCCACATAGGGAGGGGGGGGGGACCCCCTCCTGAGGTTCTTGCCTAAGATATTTTTATCGCGAGAAGGGTGCAGCAATCCCTTCCCTCGTGACTTACGAGGTCGCTCAAGGTTACTAACAACAAGCTTTGCAGCGTGTCGCTTCGAACGGAGACCAGGATTTAATGAGCGAGAAAAAACTCTCTCTGCCGGGACTCGAACCCATGACCTGGCCCTTAGGAGGCTGCGGGGCTACCCACTAGAAGACCACCTGGGCGACCGGTAGTAGTTTTTTTTTAACTCGGCCCGATTATGTGACAGTAGTGTTTGTTTGTTTGTTTGTTTGTTTTTCTCCCATCATTGGGTTCTTTCGTCTGCCCCTCTGGCCCCTATCCTCCACTTCTACCAGCTAGACGACCCAACCGGGGTCACATAGGAGGGGGGGGTTGGACCCCCTCCTGCGGTTCCTGTGTATGAAACTCCGGGCCCATTCTGTAGAAGTAAATGTGCATACACAAGGATAAAAATTGACTGCGGATGATGGACTGACTGGCGGGGCAGACAAAGCTGAGACGTCTTCGACGGGTAGGACGCAGACTGACATAACCGGCATACAGGCACACCTTTGACGAACACGTGTTGGACACACCATTCACGATTCTCAGGTCGGCATCAACAACGAAAATTGGTGGGGAGTAGGGAGGAGATACCAAAGGAGGAAAATAATATTTTCAAGAACTGAAACGGTACAGTCAATTCCGCCGCTAGCGACGGATGTGTGAGCGTGAGTGAGTCGGTGAGACACACAACTGCTGCGATGGAAATGTTGTAGAATATGGAAGAGCTGCAGGACGCTATCGAAGACGTGCAATACCTGCAAGCGGTTAACTCGAAGGACAGTGGTCCCAGTCCCACGGAAGCATGGCCATTCCCAAGCGAAAAGGAGCTAGAAGCATTCAACACGGCGCGTCTCAAAGAGAATGGGCAGAGCTTTTCTCTCGAAAGGATTTGCGGAGGAGTGCTCGGGCTGTACCTGGTACGAGCGAGCGCACAACCTGACCTGAACGACCACTTATTGCCGGTTGCTAGTCGACTGCCGTACTTATACCCCTGTTGCTTCCTCCTGTTCGTTCTCTGCTCGGCAGTTTGGTACGTTTTGCACGGAGATGGGCGAGCGCAGCAAATTCGAGTTCATGTTGGATGTGATACGATATCGGGTGAGAGGCTGCTGGGGTTGGCAGCTACTCTGGCATCTGTTAGTGTATGTGCAGCCTCGGTGTACCGTATGTATGCCTCGTGTGGTCTACTTCCCCCACGACCACCTATCTCTGGCCAACAAGGGTAGCCACCGCGTGTTCGAAGCCGCCGCCATGGAGCAAGTTTGAATTTTGGATGTCGCGTGATTTTTCGAACATTTTTGTGTCCAGGCAAACACACGCGTTCATTTATCGATGTGAGATACTGCTCTTGGGTAGGTTTAAAGCCTCTGCCCCACTGACGGGACGGCAATGTTCGTCGCCGTTCTATAATTTGTGGTTGTTAACTTGGATCAAAACATGCACCAAGCAAGCTACAGTACCACAAAACTTTTGGGGTTTTTTGTGTCATCGGGGTAAATGTGTTATATAATAGCAACAACGCGCTCATGCGCTTGCGGAACATTAATTCTTGACTTGTTTCGTTGATTCCTTTGCACCGGGCCCTGCTTGCACCCTCCCCGAGCAGCTGTACGAATGGAGAAAGGCTGTGCCCTTCTGCCTCTCGTCCTAACCCGCGCGCTCCCGTTCTTGTACACATCTGTCCTCGACACTGCTGCAACTTGTCCGCAGCGATTACGCACCCCGCAACTTCGGCTGCGGTTTGCCCAGGGGATCATCCGGAAATTCCTCTTGGATGTCAGCACCAGCCAAGAGGAGGTGAGGTCTTGCTAAAGTGTGAAATTTGTGTCTTCCGCTTTTTTTAAGTCGTCGGTGGCGGTACTCCATTACCTACGAAGTGCCGGTCGCAGTTGAAGGGCCATACATGCTATGAAGGGTGGGTGGGGTACACAAGAGGGAAAACGGAGGTACATGAGAACGGTCATCTGCGCTGTGGTGAGGCGACTATCGACGATGGAACGCTCCGCGCTCGTCGTCCATGTGCTTCCTGCGACTCCAGGTGGACGTACTGGTCGACAAAGCACCGATACTGAGGCAGGATTCAACACCGGCGTGTCTCGCCGAGCTCGAGCGAAGACGATCCGACATTCGAACGGATGGAGGCGTTGGGGTGAACAGACTAGGTGTTGTCGGACCGCTCGTGGAGCAGCTTGTGCGACTGTTGCCGGTGAGCTGCATTCCAATAACGCGCACCGAGAGTGCTGTAGCTTGGTACCAATCATACCCACATAGTTGACTGCGGAACACCGATACTGGTACGTTTTCACAACAGCCTGGCATCTCCTCACTCGTTCTATCAACAATGAAGTTGAGCGAAGAACAATTCCACGATGGTTACAATGATATCATGTCGTGCCTTCTTTCCTACAAGTGATGCCATAAAGTGTGACCCTCTCGACCGATTTTCAAAGCTCGATTATTCAACGCCGACGAGGATGCCGAAATTGAAGTGCACGTTTTCGGAGAGCTCTCGTTTGAGATGGTTCCAACGCCTAACGCCATTTTCGGCACCAGGGGGTGTGCTATCCTACGCAACCTACGGTATGTAGTCTGACCTCCTTTCCTGCTGTTGATGCTCACCCCACTCGCATCTAGATTCATCGACATTGTTGGTTTCGTACATATCTATTTGGCAGGGGGGGGGGGCGGAGCATCTTGTTACGCTGTCTCCTCCGTTTTTGGGATACCTTCCAATTGGTGTGCTCTCCAGTGAACTGGTTATAGTCAGGGTGGCAAGTACGTTCCTCTGAAACTGTTACTTTGTACACTCCTACTCCATATCTGTACATCCATGCTTGGATCGTTTTAGGTGGCCCCGCCATTGTCTGAAGAACATACCGCCGTTTTTGGTGGAACTGTTTCGTGTTTCCCAATCGTTGCGACCTTGGCAGCCACCCGCTCGCGCGAGTTGCCCCCAAGATAGCGTTAGAGTATTGGGCTTAGCTGGGAGGCAGGGCAGCGTAGACGATAAGAGCGGCAAGTGCTCTCTAGTCAACACAGCGGATATGAGCGAAGAAGAGGCAGATGAGCAGCCAATAGATGCGGCTGGTCAGGCTACGGAGCAGCAGCGCGTCTCAGGAGGCGAGCCTGCAATCGGGCAGTTGGTAGGCAATGGTGTATGCCATGCTCCAGGTCAAGTTGCGCATGTACTGACAGGGGGGCACGACGAACAAGAACGACCATCAGGTGAACAGGAGGCAGCAAACGCGGCAACGGAGGGTGTTCAAGACCAGCCGGGAAATGTTGGGGTGACTTGCTCATCAGATCCCAAGGAGGAGTGGTATCACCCTGAGTTGTTCAACGTGCTTGAGGCGTGGATCCTAGAGTACCTGCGAGAGAAGCTTCACTGTGGATTTTTGCTTTCAAGCCACTTTCAGGAGTACACGCGCTTTCTCTATGTCCAGCACAGACCGATCACGGAGAACGATTTCATCCTCTTCCGTATCTTGGGCCGAGGGGGATTCGGCGCTGTCAACGGTAAGTCGGACTCTAGGCCTCACATGATGAAAGAGGGGAGTTCGCGCTCGCGGCTGAAATTTTGTGCCCTGTAATACAGTGGGGGTCCCCGAATAAGGCGGTGGCCCTCCATACGGCGGGTGAGCTGACTGGAATATACTGAATTTTCATGTTGTTGTACATTCTACGTTGAGTGTGTCGGCTGCCCCATATCAGGCGGTCATTATCAGCTGCCCCACCATTGCCTTTCTCGGGGCCCCCACTATTCTGTGGTTCGAAGGCATGTTGACCTTTGGTTGCTGTTACCCCCACGTGATGCTCTGTTTGCAGGGTGTAAGCGCGGGTCGTCCGGCAAGCTATTTGCAATGAAGGTGATGAACAAGCGACGAATCAAAATTCGACAATCAGAGGACTTGTGCTGGAACGAGCGCCGCATTCTTGAGGCTCTTGGGAGCCCGTTTGTGGTGAGAGAGCTGAGTATAGCCCAGATTGCTCCTGTATTTGGTAGAAGCTCGGTCTGCTTTCGCAGTCGTGTAGGCAGTTACTTCACTTGAGTATGACTGCGATATTCCCTGGCCAACTCAATGCCAACGCACTATCTTCTGTGTACGAATCTAAGGGGCTTCGAGTAGTTGGTGATCCGTTGTTGCTCGACTAACTGTTGAATAATTTCTTTTGTTGTGGAATCATTGGTGGTAATAGCGTAAGCGAAATGTTAATTCTGCGGGAGCTTTGACTTGGAGTATACCCTCTCGGATCACCAGGTTTCGCTCAAGTACGCGTTTGAATCTAAGAACGACCTGTTTCTCATCCTGGATTTGATGACAGGAGGTGAGTCTTTCTGGTCTGGAACCACTACGATGCATACAGTAACCCGAGGCCCATATATCACAGTTTCATCACCTGCCTTGTCTTGCCCGAGTGCACCCGAGTTGATAAACCTATTCTGATCCGGTGCTCATATGCATCTGATTGGCGAGTCTAGTCTCTTATTACGGCTACAAAACGATGTTTGTTTTGTTTTTGTTTGTTTTTCTCCCATCATTGGACTCTGTCGTCTGCCCCTCTGTCCCTCTGGCCCCTATCCTCCACTTCTACTAGCTAGACGACCCAACCGGGGTCACATAGGAGGGGGGGGTTGGACCCCCTCCTGCGGTTCATGCCTGAGGTATTTTTATCGCGAGAAGGGTACAGCAATCCCTTCCCTCGCGACTTGCGAAGTCGATTATGGTTTACTAACAAACGAGCTTTGGAGCGCGCCGCTTTCATCCTAGACCAGGATTTATTTAGTTAGAAAAAAACTCTCTCTGCCGGGACTCGAACCCATGACCTGGCCCTTAGCAGGTTGTGAGGCTACCCACTAGACCACCGGGGCCTCCGGTGTTCTAGATGGATGGCACAACCATGACTGTTGAATTTTGTGGCGGTACTTTCGTGCTTGGTGTTGTGCCTGTAGTTTTATTTTTTGTTCTCCCATCATTGAACTCTGTCGTCTGCCCCTCTGGCCCCTATCCTTCACTTCTACCAGCTAGACAACCCAACCGGGGTCACATAGGAGGGGGGGGTTGGACCCCCTCCTGCGGTTCCTGCCTGAGGTATTTTTATCGCGAGAAGGCTACAGCAATCCCTTCCCTCCCTCGCGACTTGTGAAGTCGATCAAGTAGTGTCCTTGCTTCGGTGTCATATTGCGAACCGTCTTGGTTGATGGTCTAACAAATGCGTCTTCCGTAGAGCGCTACGTCCTTGCGTTGTGATTGCTCGTGGTACACAACTTTATGCCCCAGGCCTTGGATAGGATACCGCATTTCCGAGTCCAGCAAGTTTCAGCGAAGGAAGCGTAGCGCGTAGGCTAGGCGCGGCTGCAAGTCCGCTCAACAAGCACAAATCTGCAAGTTCGTTTTACCTTTTGCCAGGTGACCTGGGTTTCCACCTTCAGCACCTTGGTATTTTTACAACGGTAATGGCCCAGTACTATACTGCGCGGACTGTTCTGGGAATCCAACATCTCCACCAGAAGGGCATCGTTTATCGAGACCTCAAGCCAGAGAACGTGATGCTGGACGAATATGGGCGTTCACGAATATCGGACATGGGACTGGCGTGTAAGGTCACTCCTCACCTCACAGGCGCGTGCGGCACCAGAGGATGTAAGTTTTGCAGAGCACAGACAAAAAGGGCAATCGCCTGCCTGATGTGGATATTGTCTCTCCTTAGCAGTAGCCTACGGAGCATGTGTGGCCTTGTAGCTCTCTTGTCGTCTGGCCGATTGGAAAAGAGGACATCATAACACTTCCTCCGTGATGTATTGATGCGTGGTTGGCACCTGTTTTTGCTCGCTCCTTGCTCGATGATGGAACACATCATTCCGGTGGTCATGTGTGTCTTGCGTATCAAATTTGGAACAATGACCTGATGACGAAAAATCTGTGGTTCGATAATATGCAAATCGCCTATCCCATGGTTAATACAGATTGGGCCCCAGAGATGCGTCTTCGAAATTCCGCTGGCAAGCGTGTGCCGTACAATGAGTGCGTGGACTGGTTCAGCCTTGGCTGCATCCTTTATGAGTTCTTACGTGGCATGAGCCCGTTCAGAACTGAGAGGGCAATGGACTGGTGTGCCGACACCATCCAAGACAAGGTAAGGCATTCTGGGATTTTTTGTAGCGGAAGTTCGCTCAATGCTGCGAGACCTCTACCACGGCCACCCTGCATGGTGGTTGACTTGGTTCCCGCGGTTGCCGGCGTTGCTACTATCCCACCTCCCACCAGGAAAAACGCGTGGACAAAGCGACATTGGAGATGGAACCGGAGTACCCGCCAAGATACTTCGACTCCTTGGCGATAGACCTCTGCACAAGTAAGATCACGTATTGGCCCCACTTGCGTCGCTCGATGTTATCACGCACACGAGAACACTCGGACGCATCCATTACCCCCGACTTGTAGCCTGAGTTCATGGGACCCGGGTTGTTGGGAACGAGCCAGTTCTGGACAAGTTTTATTCGTGCACCTGCGGGTTGGAATTGTCATCTGCACACACAAGCTATAGCGGTAACACGTAATGTCGTGAAGAAAAAGGTGTAGTTGCCTTCCTTGTTGTGTACAGGCTGGCGGTATCACGTAATGTCGACAAGGGAAAGGTGTATTTGCCTTCCGCCTTGTTGGAGGTTGGTAGCAATGGCCAGCATGCTATGTGTTTTTTTGTCTCGCTATTCGACATGTTTTCCATTGGGCAGCTGGTTAGCGTGGTCGATGTTGTTACAGCAACGCACCTACGTATTCGACGTGTTTTTGAACAACATTTGGTTCCTGGTGCATACAGAACTGATGATGAAGGATCCACAAAAGAGGCTCGGACGCACGGGCGCGGACGAGATACTGGCGCATCCATGGTTCGGGAACTTGGACCGTGACGCGTTGGTCATGGATCAGGTGGAGAGCCCCTACGTTCCAAACAAGGACATCAATGCGGCACCTCAAAGATCTATCGGCAGCTTCGCGGACACTGACTCAAAGGTAAGCACTCAACAACTGGCGTGTCTGCATTTATCGATCCCACCATGCTAAGACGATTTGGCACACCTGGCACATAACCCACACAAACTTGACGAAAGTATCAACTGTTTCATGAAACGTATCCGCTGATTTTGTTGCCATCGTAAACATCGCAGGTTGTCCTATCTCGCGAAGACCAGGCAATTTACGATGGCTGGGAATACACTTGTGTCGACGACTTTCAGCAAGAGGTGGTGGACTTCCTCACCTATCGCGACAAAAACAAGGCGACATTCGCCACTCACGGCGGATGCTGCATTATTTGTTAAGGGCAGATTTCCCGTGTATTAAAATTTGTTACTCATGGTTTAAGCGTTTAAGCAATTGCTTCAAGTACATTTTACGTGGTTGTGCACCACTTTTCTACGTGGGATCGGTTTTTTCTCCAGGCAGAATTAACGATGCTGCCACTCCGGCCGCCAGCACACCCGTGATGATTTCTAGAGACAACTCGGTTGATACATTGTATCCAAAGAATTCACCCCCGATTTTGCAGCCGACGAAGCCCAATACGGCGGCTACAGCGGGGCGGAGATACACCAAATCCTCAACGGCGCTGGCTAGCAGCGTGAACAAGCTTCTCAGGTTGAGAATTGCCCATATATTGGAAGTGTAGACGATGAACGGGTCCTGCACACCAAACAACGAGTGGCGCAGGGGCGTCGGTGGGGTGTCCGCCAGGGAAGTGCAACCATACTAGCAACCATGAACGTTATGATATGGTTGGTTGCAGTTCCGTTGGGGAACTTGACATTCCAAAACATACAAAGCATACGCCAAAGAACATCCCACCGGGCCACCGGGGATGAAGAGTGCCTCGAGCAAAGCAGTAGTTTCGACAGGCGGAGTGTACGGCACAGAAAACGAGGCGAGGCAAAAAGCGCCGTACCTTTGTCACTGCGAACACCGCCGGAATCGAATCCACAGCAAAGACGATGTCACTTAGTTCGACGCACACCAGCACCAGGAGGAGTGGGGTCGCTCGACGAACGCCATCAACCTGTTACGGAGACGGTGGCATACCCCATGTAATCTGTCGTGGGCGCTACATGTATCTGATGTGTGGACACGAGAGCGACCAGTCCTCGCAAGCACCAATGCAAGCCAAACGCAATTTCAAGGGCGCGCAGAGGTCTTGAAGAAGGTAACTCCTCCACAATCAATCTAGTCATGAAACTTCCTGCGGTCGTCGTTTTAGAAAGCGAACCAATGCTGCTGCGAGCTACGTCGACGGTAACTACGCTGCTATTCATTCCAAACTACGAGCAGCAGTCATCAGTGCATTCCAGCTGAGGCACGGGAAATAGTTCGCGGTGGCAGCAGCGCGATGACGGAACAACTATTGGCTCAGCGCAGTCGACAATTCGCTGCATGGATGGATGCTCAGTTTTCAAGGCCATGCGATCCCCCTCGTCACTCACGACGCACCCATCAGAACGCCGTGTTTCGTTGAATGAATAAGGGGTATTATGAACGCAAGAAAAATTACGGAAAACTTTACGGAAGCGTGTTTTATGGCAATTATGTGGAGGCGTTTCTCTCCGATTCCGGGAAAGGAACGAAGCGGGAATTTTCGGGCTTGCGCTTTTCCCCGTTCCGGGTTGTTGACACGAGCATCGGACAGGCGCACCGCGGGCGCTGTAACATCACTGAGAACGCTAGCAAGAGGTGCCAGACTCCCGCCCAGGCCTATTGCCATGATAGACCAGCGACAGAAGCCGGGTTCAGCACGTTGTCCACACCAAGGCATTGCGTGATGCCCCCGACTTCAACTGCTGCTGTTGATGGTCGGTTTTTTTCTTCAACCGCACATGGCACACACGGAAACAGTAGAACGAGTACAGCAGCAGCGACAACGTCTCCAACGCACTGATTACTTCGGTCCGGCTGCCTATACGATACTCATTCCCGGCGCTTGCTACTGCGTGGATATTGGGGTGTAACCTTGCCAACTTGCCGCTTGAAAAAATACGGTGAGATGGCCTGATTTGGTCGGAGAAGCAGCAACTCAAATCCACGGCGCCACGCAGCACTGGAGCAACAGGGCCTCCGACACGCTAATTCTTTTGGATTGGTCATGTATGTGATGCTGGCCGTCAGCGCCGCTGCCGCCCTATGATCGTTGAGCTCGTCTACCATTGGACAGGTCGTGGTCAAATCAGGGGGTCGCAACGATGAAAAATCAGCCAACCAGCACCAACGAAAAAAAATCGCAAGCAAAACCCGCGTTGTGACACTCTTCCCTGAGCCTGTAGCTGAAAACAGCAAGCCGGGTGGACGGGGTCTTTATGAGCATGCTGTCCTTTGTGTCGGGTGCTGCTCTTTGTGAAATTTCCGCTGCCTATGGTGAGAGAAACTAAGTCAACCTGTTCTATGTCCAGCAACGCGTGTATTCACCTGAAGGGAGCGGGTTATTGCGATGACATAATAATTAGAGCAGAGCGCAAAAAGTCGGGTCTTCTTTTCACCGTTTCGTCAAAGAAAGCGTGAAATTTTCCGTGAAATGGTTAAGCGTTAATAATAAGCCTAAATTGGGTACTTGTGGAGACCTGCGAGTCCACATTATGCGGAATTCAGCAAGTTGTATGGCCTACCTCACTTACCATAGTGAAGAACTTGTCCCCGTCGTACGACTCTGTAGCATCGAGGGTGGAGGAGGCAAAGGCAATGAGCTTGTTGTCGCTCAAATCTTCGTCCCCGTCGCCCTCACTCTCGGACAACAAAGTGTAGGAGGAGTAAAGAAGTATCCCCGCGAATCCCAAGAGGATCGGATGAAACACGCTCATGGTCGCCTCACCAAGACCAATGAAAATGGCTCGCATCACCACCGCCCCAATAATACCATACGTGAGGACACGATTTTGGGCGTCAAACGGCACCTGCAGGAGGACAACAGCGGTATGGGCGTCTCTTGTTAAACGGTTTTGACCAAGTCCTCACGAGACAAAAAATATGTGATCCTTTCCTACCAAACATTACAAGGTACTACCGTAATTATGCGTGTTACGGAACCGGGGTGCGATCGTTTTTTAAACCATTGCTTCTTGGTTTTTTATCCCACCCCTGTGCCATAGCACCGCTACGGGTGCGAAAGTGAAATTAAATAATTTCGTTATAGATTTCCGACGCACCCCCGGTGCGATGACACCGATGGGTGCGATACGGAAGTAGTCACACTGGCCATTTTACGGTGCTGACTGAACGCACCCAGGTGCGACGACACCGATAGGTGCGATACTTAAGAAACGAACACAGGCGTTTCTGGTAAAGTACCGTACTTGCGCGTGATGCGGTACTTCAAATGAAGTGGCTGATGCGAGTTTGGGGTAGCGTGTGCCAAAGACAACAGACGCTGTGGTTCCCTGCTGGAAAATGTATTACGGTACAGCAGTATCGTTCTTCTTCCAACCTCTTTGTTGGTCGCCAGGCCCTCATTTGCAGGCTTGTGCTTCCCTCTGTGTTTGCCTCGGAGCCACGGCACCGGTAGAACTGCAGTACCGTGTACGAACTCCTTCTTGATCGATTGGTTGGAGGTGCGGGATGTGTGCTGTGTACTTCGTTTTGTGATAAGTGCATTCCATGTACGGATTACTGTAGAAAAAACTTGATCATTTCTACGGGCCAATCTCGACGGTACGATACGCAAACATGAAAAGGATGGCGCCCCTATTGGTACCTACCGGACCAGCCGTTCGCTACATGCAGTTCCACACGTGGCCCGGAGGGTACCGACACCTTACGGAAGCACGCAAATTTACGTCCTAAGCAGGATTTATGTCGTTGATATCGCACCGGGTGCGTTAACACCGATACCGGTGCTGAACTGCAAAAAAACATGGCGTTCTCGATATTCTTGCGCACCCCGGTGCCATAGCCCCCCCGGTGTTTGCCATCGGGATTGGGTTTTCGTCGCTTGGCAACGACGTTGTGAAACAAGCC